GACCTGCCAGTGTGGCTCCATGGTTGAGCATCAACCTATGAACCAGGAGGTAGGTCACAGTTCGATTCCTGGTCAGGGCACATGCTCAGGTTGTGGGCTCAATCCCCTGGAGGGGGCATGCAGAAGGCAGCTGATCAATGATTCTCTTTCATCTTTGATGTTTCTCTCTCTCCCTTCCTCTCTGAAATCAATAAAAATATATTCTAAAAAAGTATGAAATGTTTGAGTCAAGTTGCTTACCCTCGACATCAATTAGAAACAACCCAATGACTAGGCAGTACCCAAACTTTCTTACATGGGTTTTCATCTAAAAAATAAGATGAAACCATAAACTGTAGCAGGCAAACTACACCTAACAAGTCCAGGCTTCACTTTCCCTCTGTGGATGTTGAAGAATCTCTTCTCAAGCATTGTAGAGCTATCTGGGGTGACTAAATGAAAATAGGCCTGATGGGCCCAGCTTGTATGAATTAAGTCTGTGGCTTATAAATTGACTACTTGGATCCTGTTTCTAGTACTGCTACTGGCATTACCCAGCACATTGAAATAACTACAATAGGTATTCAATACAAGTTTTATGAGTGAGGTTATGATACTATTATAAAACGATACAAAAGTATTACAATCAAAAGTAATAAATGTCTTAAAATTTTCCCAAATAGTGTTCAAAGATGATTCATTTTCTTCAAGGGTGATGGCAAATATATGGCCTAAGAAGCAACTTTCCATGACTGTGGCAAGCATTGTTAATTGTCTCAATGTCATTCTATCCCACTGATCCTGTGAGGACCCTGGAATCCTTCTTAAAACAGTGTTCCAAACACTATGTATCAGTTAACCAGAGAAACACGAGTTCAAACCCAAATTTCATTAGATTTTATGAGGTCTAAGACAGAGCAGAAAAGGGAATTTGAGAGTCACATTCTTCCTGTACAATTGCTAACATTAGTTGGATGCTGATATCTACTGAGCGCTATTTTCTGACCCTAACGTGTATTAACTCATTTCATCCTCACAAAAACTCTACATAGGAGATGATGCTGGTTTTTTACCTGTAGATTAATGAGGCACAGAAAGGTTAAGAAACGGAATGAAGATTGTGCAGCTGATAATTGCTAGAGCTGGGATTCAAGCTGTTCTGGCTCCAGATTCTAGACTGCTAGGCGTTAAAGAACTCGGCAAAAGAGGTAAATACTATATAGAGACTAGAAAGAAGTTGAAATCATTAAAATTAAAAAAGGAAAAAAAGAAAGGACAAGTGATAAAAGAAACAAAAATATATATTTGCAGCATAATGTTTTCCTCTGGGATTATAACAAAGTTTTGAAGAATATCTTTGCATATATATATATATATATATATATTGCATATATTATATAGTCTACATCCTGGCAAACTATATATGCATATATTTGTGTATATATTATTTTACATGTCAACAGATTGTAGCAGCAATATGACATTAACATTTTTTTGAAATATAAGGCAACACTAAAATTTGACCTTTTCCAATTATTCTCAGGGATAGTCCATTTTCTGAAAGAGAGTGGAGGGTAAATGTCAGATGGCTGAATCACAGCATACTGAAAAGGTTAACGCAAAAGTACAGCACTATCCATCGCTCTTTCAGCCTGAGACATGATGATACCTGAACTGACTTTGGTCTGAGATTGTTCTTATGGTGACATGAAAGTCTATTTTCATGGACAATGATCAGGACAAAATGCAGGGCAGTGAAGCTCAAGACTCACTTCCTGAATGTCATCACCAAGGTTTTCTCTAATGATTCAGGAAAGCAAAATTCATGCTGTCCTGAGCCTGTGCTAGAGGACATGCCTGTCTATCCACCCATCACGCGCTGTTCTGACAGTTCATCAGTGGGAAAAGCCTTTGCTTATAGCATGGATACTGGAAACAGAAGAAAAGAGAAATTCTTAGAGTCTATACATAACACTTTTTCTCTGATTTTTACAGCAATGCCCTAGATAACATTATACTTGGGTAATACTAGGACTATTACGAATATATGACCCCTTGAGTAGGTATAATTCCCCTTACCATTTAATAACATGGCAACTCGATACATCATTTTCATGAAGTTTGAAAACCATGAATTAATATCCTTATAATTGATTATTTATCAAATGATACTAATATGAGAACAAAACTATCCCATAGCTGGTCAGTTTCTCTAGCTATTTACTCAGTTGTATAAACATCCCTGCAAAAACTGATTCCAAATGAAAGCTTTTTGTGACTTGTGAATAGGTGTTATCATCAAATTCATCTGGGAAAATGTTTTAAAAGTATCTTCAGAAACTTTTATGGCTATTGCTGTAAATACAGAATAAAGAAGAAAATTCAAGCATTCTAATGACTCAAGAAAAAAAAATGACATTTGCCTGGTCTTTCAGGGAATTCATGGTATATCTCTCACCTCGACCAGTCACATACAACAGTAAGGACTCAGATTATGAGTCAACGTTTTATATGATAACAGATGTTTAACTGAATTTTCAACTTCCATCCATAGTAGAATGCTGGGCTCCACTCTTACCCAACCTTTGATGAGTCTGCTCACTGGGAAATCTAATTGGATGTTTCCTGAGTATAACATAATTCATTTGATATGCCTAGTAAATTCATATACTTTTCTGCTCCTCCAGTGATTCAGTCTGCACACTCTACATCAAAGGGTAGAGACTCTGACAGCGTCAGAATTCACATCAAGCACCATTCAACAGAGTGGCAGGGACAGCCAGTGTGACTCCCATAAACCCCCCTGGAATTTGACTCAGGAAGGTTTCAGAGTAAAGGAGGAAGCCGTGTCTGCCTGTCAGAGTCAGAACAGATGGGGACCATCCTTCGAATGTGGCACATGGAGGTACATCTCTTCCATGACCTGACGCTCCCCTGTCAGCCTATGTGGTTGGCAAATACTATCATATCGACCCTGCATGTTAATGGATGGATGGTTTGCTTTTACTATTTACATGGTGATAAGATTCTTTCCTACTGGAATAAGCTTGGATGGGTGGATAGACTTCCCAAATAGTCAATCTGTTCTCCTCAATGAGTCATTGAATACACACACTCTCTCTATCTCTCTGAAAAGCTTCCTAGTATCCCACTCAGGCCTAACTCTTGGCCTGGCTCACACTATCTCCACCCACTCACTATACATCTTCATTTTCATGCTTTTTTTAAATAACTACAATCCTTTTGAAGCCAAATCTTCTCTTTACCCAAAGGCTTGATTAATGCTTTTGCCTGTCTCTGGACTGGGTATGTAATGGAACTTAGGATTTTCAGGTACAGCCCATGTGTCCTCACTCAGGGATTAAAATGTAAGTGTCACAATGAGACAACCACACTCTATTATAGCCAGCCAAGACCCCAGGGAAGTGTGAGGGGTCTGCTGCGAGGTAGGTCTGGGCTTTTTGTTCCTGCACTGACACTCTTGGTGTGAGTTACTTAACCTCTAAAAACCTCAGTTTTTTTCAATTTAGGGAGGTAAATAGAATTTACCTCATCCGGTTGTTGTAGGCATTGAGTTAGATTAAATACTGTATGGAAAGCATTTACCACAGTGCCAGGGCCAGGGTAGCGGCTCAGTAAACATTTCTTGCATTTGTATTAACTCCCATTTCTTTATTGGTGGCGAGCTCATTCTGGTTAGACACTGATTTTCTATTCCCTTCAATCCCTGGCAAAGTTTTAAGCAGACAAGATTCTTGTAATTTATTTCATACTAGTAGCTCGATGCACAAAGATTCATGCAAGAATGGGCCTTCTTTCTCCTGGCTGCTGGCACCACCTTTGCTCCGGCCTGAGCAGCCTTTCCGCCTTCCCACAATGCCCAGAGGCCCAGAGCGACTGGGGCTGTGCGGAATGCCTGCCACCCACCCCCTGCCTTTGTTGGGTTAATTTGCATACTCTTGCCTGATTGGCTGCTGGGTGTCATGAAGGCACAGTCAATTTGCATCTTTCTCTTTTATTAGTGTAGATGCCTAGTAAAAATCATATCAAATTTGTGTTATTTCTAAGTTTCAGACTAATGAGAATGGCAGAGAGTAAAACTAGGCATGGAGGTACAAACACAGGGTTGCTTTGTTCACTGGTGGTGGGTCTGCCCCGAGGAGGGACCAAGCCAGAAAGCAGCTGGGTAGTCAGTGCCAGGCAGCATGCTCCATCCTCATGGCAGCCAAACCTCCAGAAAGCACCACATTGGAGAGGAGAAATATGAGAGAAAGACAGCAGTTTGCATAACTACATCTCCGCTTCCTACTCACTTTATTTCTAAAGGTTAAGCTGGCTGCTGTGTGAATCCAGGATTTGAAACCGGGGGTCTTGAGACGTATGAGGGACGGTTGTGTTCATGACAACCCATTGACACTGTGCCTTCAGTTAAGCTCTCTAAAACCTTTCTTAAAATATGGTGGGGTGCTCTTTACATCTTTCAATGAAGAAGAAGTGAGAAGAGGTGCCGATTCAGCTGCTCTCTGAGGAAAATCTGCTGACTCCGGGCACGGAGGCCCATCTGGCGCATGCACAACACAAGCTTTGTGGATGTTGGATTATTTTAATTAGCTGATAATGCATTTGGTATGAGGTTGATTTTTGCAACTCTGATTCAAATATTGTCATGAAACATTTGAAAACAGACCTTTTCTGTGTCAGTAAATAACTTAATAAATAATACCCACAAATACAAAATCACTGAGTACAAAATTTCAGCTATATTTTCTGCTGGTTACATAAAAGTCCTTTGATTTAAATTCCGTCAAATTTGGGGCTGAACAGATTTTCTGTGACATTTTAGTTTTAAAATGAAGTTGCATTTTTGCATTTGAAGCCCTTCTTTATTGAATTTAAAGCTGCACTTTCAGCTAATGCCCAGCATCATCTAAATCAGTGGTTCTCAACCTGTGGGTTGCGACCCCTTTTGGAGTCGAACGACCCTTTCACAGGGGTCGCCTAAGACCATCGGAAAGCACATATATAATTACATACTGTTTTTGTGATTATGTTCAATTTGTAACAATTACATTGGGGGTCACCACAACATGAGGAACTGTATTAAAGGGTCGTGGCATTAGGAAGGTTGAGAACCACTGATCTAAATGTTGACAGTCTTTGGGAAGTTGAACGGATGACCCTTCATTTCTCTTTTCCTTGTTTGAGCTGCTGCCTCACATCACCCGTCAGTCATAACCTCCTGGTGAATGCACACGAATGTAAACTTCTGTTTCATATATTGTGAGAGGAGGGTAGAACATAACGACCATAAGAGATAAGCATTTGCAAGTTCCTTCAACACTTTTTTCCCCCTTTGTATTTGATGCCAAGTCTGGGAATTCACCTGCAAAGGCCCTTAGAAATGGCCCCAAATTGTGCTATTAACTGGACTGAATGACCACAATTGTTTAGTCACAACAAAAAAATTATAATGTAAAGAGCTTTTGAGGGTTTACATAGACTGCAAAAGAAAATAGAGTGAGCATTTCCTACACACACACACTCACACACACACACACACACACACACACATGCATGCACCTGCCATGCACGCGCGCGCACACACACACACACACACACACACACACACACACACACCTGAGGCACGTTTCCAGGGTTCAGTGGAGGAAGTACTTTTTCATGGTAAATATAATGTTTTTAAAGAGATGAATCAAAACGTTTAGGAAAGATTTAACCCCATTTTGCACAGACATTATCAATCATCTTCTGTGGGGGCTAAGCAGGACAGGTGATTAAACAGCATTCTCTAAATGGTCACAGATGGTTTTTTTCTTTAGGCTACAGGGGATCCGCAGAGCAGGCAAGGAGGTGCCTGAAGTCATCATCAGGGGAAATACCCCTGCCAGCTGCAGTGATTCCCAGGCAGATACTATGCAGCAATCACACCATCACAAGTTACACCCAGAAAGCAGTTTGTAAAACAAGCACCAGACGACTGGCAGACTTTCCATCGTAATCTGCACTATTTAGCCTGAATGATGACATTTACCCATGAAAATTATTAAATGTTAGGGTCCTAGATGATAGCATGACCCAAGTTATCTTTGAACATTTTCTTGTTTAAAAGGTGGTCACATTGTCACTTAAAAAAATAAATCAGAAAATAATATGGTCTCAAGTGGACAAATAAATATGGATTTTAGGGGGAGTCTTTGCATTATCTCTTGCTTTCCTCTTGCTTTGGTTCCAATGGTAATTTCTCCCCAAGTTTTCTAATAAGTTCTGCTAGATCTTCTGAATTCTGAGTTTTTTCTTCCAGGAGTTCATAGCGGAGACTTGAGATGTCCTGTTTAATTTCCTTCAGTTCCCCTTTGGAAAAAAACAAGAGTGACAAGTATACTGTCAATACGTAGTGCAGAGGAACTAGCAGCTCTGGGGTTGAGTGAAATCAGTCCCAACTCCATGCACATCTGTGTGCTGAATCCTTCTGAAGGAAATAACTTCCCAACAAGCAGGTTTCTATTTTGTCAGCTACGCATTTCAGGTAATGAAAAGACTATAGAAAAAAATTATAGCAAAGTTATCATTTACTTCACTCTGAGAGTAAATTAAAGGAAAACATTGGTGGCAAGTGTTTGGGGGTCTGGGAGGAACAGCCCCTCACTTTTCCTAACCACTTCCTCCTCCCTCCAAGCCGCCCATCAAAACAACCCTTACTTATCTAACTAGTGGCATCGGCCCTCAACTATGTAGACATAGCCTATTGCCTGAGGCCCTACTGGTAGCGGCAGTTGGTGAGAACCCATATTCTCTTCTTGAAGCTCACTCTTCCCAGGCCCTTCCCTCCAGCCCTCTCTCGGCTCTGCATCAAGCCCACACCCTGGCTCACCTTCATTCACTTCGTCACTTTCCTTATCGATCTGGGCTTTCAGAACATATCTTTTAATGAGCCTCTTCATGATTTTCTAGAAAGAGAAAAAAACCCATCTCAGCTTTATGCTGATGACAAATCTCTCATCTGGAATAAATTTGAGTCATTGTCTCTTTTCCAAGCACTTTAGAAGTGATTGCTATTGCCGAAACCGGTTTGGCTCAGTGGATAGAGCGTCGGCCTGCGGACTGAAGGGTCCCAGGTTCGATTCCGGTCAGGGGCATGTACCTGGGTTGCGGGCATATCCCCAGTGGGAGATGTGCAGGAGGCAGCTGATCGATGTTTCTCTCTCATCGATGTTTCTAACTCTCTGTCTCTCTCCCTTCCTCTCTGTAAAAAATCAATAAAATATATAAAAAAAAAAAAAAAGAAGTGATTGCTATCAAAGATGAAGATGATTTACCTGCCAGGGAATGCATAAATCACCTGAATTAATGACTCAAAAATTAATTCTGCAGAAAAGAGCAAGTTCCAAACCAACAGTTAATCCTTGATTCATTGCTTGTATTTTACTTGAAAAGTATTAGGGCAAGACACAGCCTTCAGTGGACAGATTAAAGGTATGCAGCATTGCCGGTGGAAATGGAAAATTAAGCAAATGGGGGGAAACGCATATGTTTATTCCCCTCCCTTACCAAAAGACATAGCCAGCCTTGATTTTTGCTTTCTAAGTTATGAATGGCCAGTTTCAATGTAATAGTTCCTCCAGTACCAGGGTTTCTTCCATAAGGATGTGTGTTTACTACATACTTTTCATGAAAAGTAGGAGGCTCAGCACATGTGCAGGAAGTCCTGTGTGAAGATATAGCTAAGTTACCTAAGCCCAAAGGAAATGGTAGACAGCAAAATTCCACTTTCAAGAACTTATCCCAAGGGTGTAATTGGGTTCATGGATAAATATATTCATGTTATGCTACATAATAGTGGAAACATAAACCCTTACATGTCCATTAATAAGGGATTCTAAATTACTTTATTTGAAAATATATTTATTGATACTTTAGAGAGAAAGAAAGAGGGAGAGAGAAACATTGATGTGAGAGTGAAACATCACAGGCTGCCTCCTGTGTGCCCCCTCTCCCCCCACTGGTGATGGAGCCTGGAACTCGGGCATGTGCCCTGACCAGGTATTGAAGTAGCAACCTTTCGGTGTATGGGTCGATGCCCAATCCACTGACCCACACCAGCCAGGGTTGTTTTTTGTTTTTAATTAATGAGAGAGAGAGAGAGAGAGAGAGAGAGAGAGAGAGAGAGAGAGAAAGAAAGAAACATGGAAACATCAATGGGTTGTCTTCTGCATGCGCCCCGACCAGGGATTGAACTCACCACCTTTTGATGTTTGGGACAATGCTCCAACCAAGTGAACCACACAGGCCAGGGCAGGGATTATTTTAATAAATTATCATATATTTGTACAAAGGAATATTATACATCCATTAAAATCAATATGAATATGTTTTATGAAATGAAAAACTATTGCTCATCACATAAGTATTATTAATTCATTTATATATTATGCATACATTTATATAATCCTATATAATAAAGAGCTAATATGCAATGGTTGTTACACCCTTGCGCTCTCATGCCCTCGCACCCTCACGCTGGAGCCGGGGGACCTGAGGCCAGGCTGGGGGACCTAAGGTTGTGCCCCCCGCCCTGTGGGGCTTGATGGGGGTGGGGCTGGCCAGGTCTGGGTCTTGCATGATTTTGAGGTGCATGTGGGTGGGCAGGGACTTGACTCTGGGTCCTGCAGAGTGCCCCAGACTCTGACAGGAGGGAGATTTTCATACACATTTTACTAATGTTCTTTCATCTCTGACACTTCTATTATAGAGAAAGGGCAAATAACAATATTAAAATATTTCCTCTAATTAATTCTCTTTTAATGTGCACAAATTTTGTGCACTGGGCCATTAGTAATATTAATAAGTGTAAAATTATATTCATGTATATAATCATCTGGCAAAATATTCAGCAAAAGTAAGTAATAATTATTCCTCAGTGGTAGGGTTTGAGGTGGATTTTACTCTCCTCTTTATGATTTTAATAAGGGTAGATTTTTTTACAATGAGCATGAAGACTCCAAGCTCCACGATGTCCAGGCTTCATCTATTTTGTTTACCTTTGCATTTCCAGTACTTAGTAAGTGCCTGGTACAGGGTAGTTACTCAATAAATACTTGATGAATGAATACATTATTTTGATATTGAGAAAAATATTCATTTTCACTTAAAGAATTGAATGGTTTGAAATTCTATATATTATAAATAACTAGTCTTATTATTTAAAAATTCATGCTTACCTGATACTGCCTTGGAGGATTATTGAAACTATTTAACTGGAAATCTTCTGAGCCTCTTATACCAAGCTGCAATTTGGGGAAAAAAAAATTATAAATTGATTCTTATCTAAGTTTTTAAAAATATGATTAAATTTTTAAATGAACTAACAGTTTTACATATAAATAAACGTATCCATCTCTATATATGAATATATAGATATGTATATATATATAGTACCATTTTAACTACACTTGCTTATTGTTCTATCTTCCAAGACAAATCACAGACACTTAAGGTGTGTTCAGTCTCTCAATGGCTATTAGAGGTCATCTGAGAAGTCTTTTAGACTCTGTGCATCAATCATGTTGTCATGAGAATCATATTTTAAACTTCCCACAGACACATCTGTGACAGAGGAAGAGGCAAACGAGTTGGAAAAATAATGGTGATGGCCTCAGAAATCCTGATTGACTAAAAGCTGGGGATCCTGAGAAATGCCAAGATGTGACTGTTGTGGGACAGAATTCAGGTGCCAAGAAAACACTAATTAATCCATTTAAATTTTAGGATGTGTAATAGTATCCAATTTGGGAAGCATTTTTCAAGTAATATATTTGCTTGAATGGGCAAATAACGAAAAATTAAAGCAATCTGCAACAAAGGTTTTAACATACCGTGTTAACATGCTAAGAGGAAATTAAAGAATCCTTCAAGTCACTTTCTAAAGAGAAAAATATGTTTCTACAAAAAACAAGGATAACCCAAGTGAAACAGAGCAGCTCCAAATTTCTATGCTTTGGGTACACAACTGTTTACAGGGGATGAGAAACTTTAAGATTGTCTTCAAAGATATTTCCCAGTGACATCTAAGTTGCTATAGGTACAGCTCAATGAGACTCCATTAAAATCCTTGACTTCAATACTTTGATCTTTACTTTTATTTTTTAAAATTCATCTTTATTGCTGAAAGTATTACAGCTTTGATCTTTCAATGCCTGCATACTGAATTAAAACAGCTATGTACGCATCCATCCACCGAACAAGCATGTATTAAGCGTCTTCTATATGTAAGATACTGTGCTAAGTTATGGGTGCTAACAAAGAACATAAACAATGATGGTCTAGCTGAATTATAGTAATAGGAAAAAAGTCAAAAGGCTGACAAAATCCATAAAAAACAATTTGTAATTTTGATAGTACAGATAGCATTTTTTTCACAAAACTATTTTCTTTTTTCTTCACCCTCTCTAAAAAAAATCAGTAAAGTGTTACATTATTTTATATTTACTTTGAAAAACATTAAGGTAAAATTACACAATTGACCAAACTGACCAAAGAGAGGCAGCTTAGATTCTTAAGAGTACCTGCCAGAGACCTAAAGACGCAAATCTGCTTCTGCTACAAGTTAGCTGTGTAACCCTAGGCAAGGTGCTAAAACTCTCTACTATGTCTCTGACAATGAAGGGGGGGATCTAGTAACCTCTGTAGTCCTTCAAGTTCTTCTAATGAATGAATGTGTGAAATTTATGCAAGCTTAAGCCTATTTTAATAATATAACTTTAATATATTTTATTTATTTATGTAAAATATATTTTATTGATTTTTTACATAGAGGAAAGGAGAGGGATAGAGAGTTAGAAACATCGATGAGAGAGAAACATCGATTAGCTGCCTCCTGCACACCTCCTACTGGGGATATGCCTGCAACCAAAGTACATGCCCTTGACTGGAATTGAACCTGGGACCTTTCAGTCCGCAGGCCGATGCTTCATCCAGTGAGCCAAACCAGCCAGGGCAATATATTTTATTTTTATTTTATTATTTTTTTAAAATATATTTTATTGATTTTTTACAGAGAGGAAGGAAGAGAGATAGAGAACTAGAAACATCGATGAGAGAGAAACATCGATCAGCTGCCTCCTGCACACCCCCTACTGGGGATGTGCCTGCAACCCAGGTACATGCCCTTGACCGGAATCGAACCTGGGACCTTTCAGTCCGCAGGCCGACGCTCTATCCACTGAGCCAAACCGGTTATGGCGATATATTTTATTTTTAAATAATATAACTATTCGTTTCTTTTTATAATGCCATAATTATTTCTGGCTTTCAAACTGTAATTTACACCTTAAGGACATCATTAAATGTGATGGCCAGGTTCAAGGTCACTTTCATCCCTGTTTTTATGAGAAAACATTGAGAGTAAGGACAGGTTCATAAACAGAGAGAAAAGGCCCAGACCAATGGAATCTTTGCACATCCTTTACCAACTATTCATGAATTCTCAGCCTCTGAAAATCATTAATTTGGTGCTCTTTTTTTTTTTTTATTAGAGGCTACCAGTACATCCATGGATGTTCATGGAAATTGGAAAGTAAAAAAAATTTTGCTTCCTATAGATTTTTTGAAGGCAAATGTGTGGTCCTTGATACTTGATTGGGAATGATGCCAAATCATCCCCAATTAAGGCAGCTCCACGACACACCATGCCCTTGGAGATAATCCTTTTAAAAAACACACACAAAAACTTAGTATTATAGTAATGTCACACAGGACTTCTTTCATTTGCTCTTTTCTAACAAGGCTTGTGTGTTTGCTGTTTCCAATTCCTAAAACCCTCTTTTCCTGGCTCTTTGCCTGGATGACGAGCTCTCTCTCACCTTTGGATTTTTAAAAAATATTTTTATTGATTTTTAGAGAAAGAGGAAGGGAGAGGGAGAGAGAAAGAAAACCATCAATGTGAGAGCAGAACATCTATCAGCTGCCTCTTGCATGCCCCCTACCAGGGATCGAGCCTGCAACCTGAGCATGTGCCCTGGCTGGTAACTGAGCCAGAAACCCTAGTGCACAGGACAATGCCCAACCAACTGAGCCACACTGGCCATGGCTCACCCTTTGGATTTTTGCTTAAAACATAAGCTTATTGGAAAGCTTTTCTTGCCCACCTCATGAAAAATAGTTCTTGATTGTTTCCTTCATAACATACTTCACGACTTACAATTACTATATTCACTGGCTTAGTTCCATGTGTACTGTCTGCACTCTCTAGGCTTTATAGAAGGATGGACTTTTTAGTTCATCCCAATGTCCCTAGAGCCAGCACTGCCCAGCAGATGGCAAGTGCTCAGCATTGCTGGTTGGTGAAATAAGTGAAAGAAGAAGTGTTGTTGGGTCACTAATGGACCTCACTTGGTTTCTGGACACCTTGCTATACAAGGCACGTACAAAACTCTCTGGGTTCATGAACCAGTAGGTTGCAGCTCAACTACATGATAAAGATACATCTGAAATACAATGAATTAGTTTTAAGCCACGAGGCAAATGCCTTACAACGCAACACACTGGGTGATACAGAGGAAGTAATAATGCCAGGAAACAGAAAACAGTATTCTGTTCACTTAAGAATGTGTATGATTGTGGATTTTCTAGAGGGTAGATCTTGAAGAGTCAATGACTGGAGTTACACTGTGTTCATACAGCTCCAGCCTAACCTGCAGCTCTCCCAGGTGTGGAGGCAGTGGACTGAGTTCCAGGTTTCTCGATCCAGACATTTTTGACACTTTGGGTTAGAAAATTCTTTATTGTGGGGGCTTTCTGTGTATTGCAGGATGTTTAGCAGCATCCATGCCCCCTAACCCACTCTATGCCAGCAACAGTGACCCTCTCTGGTGACAAAAATGCCTCTATTTCAAATGTGCCCTGGGGATGCTAGTGGGGGTTGGGGAGGGCAAAACCACCCCTGTTTGGAAACCACTGGTATTGTGAAATGGTATATGACTAAACATTTATAAAGTTATTTGGGACATTTTTATGTGACTAGTGCTGCTCTAAATCTGAGACATGAATGTGGATACAAATGAACATTTTTGAGAAAAATTTCTAACCCATTTCTAAATACATAACAGGTATGCAATAAACACAGGTTAAAAGGGAATAATCCAACAAACAGTATGTAAGGAGGAACTTACCCAATGTGCAAAGAAGCATTATTACCACTTGGTGGCAGAAAATTCTAACATATAATTGTTTCTATGCACACTAATGAAATAAACTGGAAAGTCAAGAGAATTCAATTTGCAATATGAATAATATTCAAACCTTCGGGATCTGGATAAGTATAGATCATATTAATAAGTACAATGTGATGGGAGTGGGGAGGGGAAGCTGGTTGAGTAGAAGCAGGAAGCATTGGATAAAAGCTTTATAACAGATTAGTGCACAAATGCACACTCCAATTCCTTTTTAAAATATATTTTTATTGATTTCAGAGAGGAAGAGAGAAGGAGAGTTAGAAACATCAGTTATGAGAGAGAATCATTGATCTGCTGCCTCCCACACACGTCACACTGGGGATAGAGTCTGCAACCTGGGCATGTGCTCTAACGGGGAATTGAACTGTGTGTGACCTCCTGGTTCACAGGTCGATGCTCAACCATTAAGCCACACCAGCCAGGCTACACTCCAATTCTGAATGATTCATTGCCTCTCCTTTTTAAAATACCTTCTACCACATTTCCTGTATTCTTTATGTTTTCTCTCTGGTTCGTTTTCTAATAATTAGTTTATTAACATTTCCTAACTCTTTGTACAATCAGAGTGAGGAACACTCAATACCTTGTTTGTTATTTATTAAGAGGAACAAGTACGCTTCATTCAGTCATTGGAAATTATTATGTGGTTGGACATGGCAACAGTTCTGAGAGTCTCCCATCCCCCGCAGCTGAAATGCCTGAGGCCCGGAGCAAAACCATGAACTTAAAGGTACAGACAATATACGAGTCAGCAGGAAATGCAGATGTGACATGAAGCCATGGGGCACAGAGCCTGCAAGCCTCTTGCTTTGGAATCAAGTAGATGTGAATTTGCATTCTGGCTTTGTCACTTGTCTGAAATGGGACTCGGAGCAAGTCATTCCACCTCTGTTAATCCTCACCTTCTGTGTGTATAAAATAGGGAAAATGGTGTCACCAGCCTCCTAGAGCTAACGTGAGGATTATAGAGATAAGGTACGTAGAATATGTAGCTTGACATACAGTAGGTGTTCTGCAAGTGTCCGTGGCTGTTATTATTATACAAAAGTCATAAA